AGCTTTATTTATAGGCATGAATTAGGGTTTGAGTGGAGTAGCCAACAAGTAACCCTAATGGGCTTATCTTGTAGAGGCTCAAGTCTAAATTTTTTATGGAATTTTTACATTCATATACACTATATGAAACTATATTACCCTCCCTACTCAAGTTTTACTATAATTATATTTTATATACCCAATTACCATTTATGTACATTTTAAGGGAATTAATGATAATAATTAGTGTCCTAAAATTACTCTAATATATCTTATACTCCCCTACGTTTCTCTCTCCACATCTCACCCCCTCCCACGTATATCTTGCACAAGAGAGCAGCAATTCTACCATTGACAACCATTAAAAAGTTTTGAAGCTTTTAATTTGAATTTCGGTTTTCAAAAAATATTATTTGCTTGTGGATGTTGTTGCAAAGAATTGAGAATTCTCTCTACGTCTCTCTCTATTTCTCAACCCCAAATTTCAGTAATGTAAAGCAAAGGAAAAGAGAACAGCAATTCCACAATTGACAGCCATTAAAAAGCTTTGAAGCTTTGAATTTGAATTTGGGTTTTCAAAAATCATTATTTGTTTGGATTGGGTGTTGTTACAAATAATTGGAAATATGGTTTGGAGTTTATACCTCAATTTTGAGGGGTTTTGGTGAAGATTAGACTTTGTTTTGGCTAAATTTCAGATTGAAGAAGAAGAAGAAGAAGAAGAAGAAGAAGAAGAAGAAGAAGAAGAAGAAGAAGAAGACGACGACGACATGAAATACATTATAATACAGAAATTGTAGAAAATTATAGAAAAATTGTATTCTGTTGTTTATATATTTTTCTTTTATTTATTTAACTATTGCATGAAAGTTAAACAACATTGTATAAAAATTATATTTAAGTTATATAATATTGTAGTTGTATATAACTGAGTAGAAATAATGTATGAAAATTGTAGATAAGTTGTATAATATATAATTAGTTATATGAAATTTGTTTTTATTATGTATAAATCAGATAAAAAATATACAAAAGACATATTGTATAAAATTTGTATTTAAGTTGTATGTTATTGTAGTTGTATTTAACTGGGTAGAAATAATGTGCGAAAATTGTAGATAAATTGTATAATATATAATTAGTTGTATGAAATTAATCTGTTTGCTTTCTCAATCTTATCAAAACCAACAACAACAACAAAGATTAGATCAAAACTCATCTGTATCTGCTGATTACACAGCCGTAGCTGATGTTTCTGTTAACAAATTCAAAAAGTTTATTTCTTTACTTGACAAAAACAGAACTGATCATGCCAGATTTCGTAAAGGTCCAATTTCTTCTCCTCTTCCTCCTCCTAAACCCCAGCAACAAAGATTAGATTAAAACTCTATCCAAAATTAGAACCTCCAAATAGAAGAAATCGAAAAGCCACAAATAAATATTCCCAAAATTAACTGTCCGACACCAATTCAATGTTTACCTCCTTTACCACATAACCATCTTTAATTGGTCAAAAATGGGTCAATTGAGAGAAAAGAATCGTCTACAACTATTAATTTTGCTTCTTCATCTCCGGCGAATTCATTTATGTCATCTTTGACAGAAGAAACAGAGAGTTTGCAACAATCTTTGTCTTCTGGTTTCCAAATAACAAATCTTTCTACTGGTTTTTAATATTCATTAAAGTTTTGTTAATATCCGTTAATTTTCCAACTGCTCGTCCTTGTTTAATTTTCATTCTCTAATTGCAGTATTTGGACTTGTTGACAATCCTGAATGTGGCAAAGATTGGAAGTTTATTATTAAGTAGGTTTGACCTCTACCAATTAGTAATTTTTAGGTTGACAATCCTCTCTTAATTGAAGGCACTAATAATGGATTGGGAGCCTTTTAAGGTGGAATGTATATATTTTGTAAACAAAACTTGTGTAGGTAGGATAATTTACTAAACATGAACATTTAGGGTAATAAAGTTTCCAATAGTGTATATGAATGAAAAAATCCCATTTTTTATACACTAATTTGACAAGTTTTCAGTGCTTATTTTACCCGCGTATAAGCTTATCAAAATATCCTTTGTGTTATTCAATTCTTTCATGCATTAGTCTGGAACAATTGAGAACTACATTATTACCAAATCAAGAAGAAAATTTTCCTTTGCTCAAGCTTATCTACTGAAAGAATTTCAAAAGTTCCATTTCCTGAAATTTGGATTTAAGATATGTCGTATCCTTTCTAAAAAATCAAGTAAACTTTAATTAAAAAGAGAAAGTCAACTATCCAATATTCTAATTCTATTCAGCGTCTCAGATTATTACCGTTAGCATATTTCAACCTATAAACTCCAACTAGTGTTGCTTAAGATACTTTGGACCCCTGTAGAGATTTAGAAAATTTGTTGTGATCATTGTCTAATATCAAACTAATTAGTCAATTGATTCGGGCACAGTTAATCCAACTGATCAAGTTCTGCTCCACTCTTGGTTAAGTTCTATTTTATGTAATTAACTAGCCTTTACGTATTTGTTACGCTGCAGTGATATTTCAAGCAAAA